CGAACGCCTCAGCCCTTTGACGCCCGGAGCCCCAAATACCGGAAGCCTGTGGGTCTGTATCTGTGTATAGCAGGGACCGTAGACCCTAAACCCTGAACCTTAAACCCACTAAAACCCTAAAGCTTAAACTCTACACCCTAAACCTTAAACCCTACACCCTACACCTTAAGCCCTAAACCCTAAACCCTAAACCCTAAACCCTAAACCCCTCCATGCCAAGCCCTGAACGTGTCGGCAAGCTTGGGAGGACTGGGAGTTGCCAGATGGAGGTCCCATGCAGCTCGGCTGCGTAGGGATTTTAGGGTTTAGGGTTTGGGGTTTGGGGTTTAGGGTTTAGGGTTTAGGGTTTAGGGTCCAGAGTTTTTTGTTTGTTTTCGGCTCCCCCTAAATCTCGGTCCGGTGATATATTTGTTTTTCTAGGCGTGGCGGGGGCCTTTTTTTCTCTCCTAGGTGTGGCGGGGGCCTCTTTCTTTTTCTTTTTTAACCCTAGGTGTGGCGGGACCTTTCACGCTCGAAGGCCTGAAAGTCATTGCATTGGTAGCCACGACATGGTTCGCATTATTATTAATTATCAACATTATTTTTATTGTATTGTGATTATTGTTGTTGTTATTCTTATTCTAATAACCTCCTCGTAATCCCGCAACAAATTCGCCACGAAAACCAATCCCTAAAATGAATAAAGCCCGTAACAGTTAAGTTAAAAGCCCGAAAAAAACATGAAATTCCTCAAAAAAAAGAGAAAAGCGCCGCACTAAAGTCTAAAGTCCCGCCAAACAACATAAATACCCAAAAAATAAAAGGGTTTAGGGTCGATGTGTTTTGAGAATTTCTGGTCGTGGGATGCAAACCCTAAGCCCCTCACCAACACACCCTCAAACCTCAGCCCACAACCTCGCAAGAAGCTGACTCTAACTTGGTAGCCCAGCGGTACCCTTTTCCCTTTTTTGGTCCAAGGCTCCCTTATACAACGCAAAAGGGGGTACCCTTGTTAGAAGATGGTTACCGGGCTACCAAGCTAAGGCCCTAAACCCTGAACCCTAAACCCTAAGCCCTAAACCGCAAGGTACTACACCGCCTGCTGCCGGGCCTTGGGTAAGATGGCCGGGTACCACAAGATGAAGAAGCTCCACCCCAAGGTGGACGACACTTGCCTCAATGCCTCTCTTGGTGGGATTTACCCTCAGCCCTAAACCCTAAGCCCTAAACCCTAAACCTTAAGCCCTAAACCCTAAACCCTTAGCCCTAGGGAAGGGTCGACGATCTCGATGGAGGGTTGTCGGGTTTGAGATTTAAGGGTTGAGGGACTTAGCGTCTTTGGGAGGATTTCGGGGGTTCCGTCCCAATTCCCAAATATAGCCCCAAATCACCAAACCCTAAACCCTAAACCCCAAGCCCAAAGCCCTACACCCTAAACCCCGAATCACCAAACCCCATTCCGAAACTCATTGAACCCGCAGAGCCCTAAAAGCCTATAGCTGAACTTGGTTCATGCCTATGGCCCTAGTCCTAACCTAAGCCCCAAACCCTAATCTAAAGCCTAAACCCAAAACTAAAACTTACACCCTAAGACCCTAAACCCTAGACCCCAAACTGAATCCTTTTGGCAATCCAGAGACGAGGCTTCTGGAGCTTGGTTGCTCGGTGCTCTGGGTTTGGGGTTGTCTCGAGTTTCTGAATTTTAGGATTTTAGGGTTTAGGGTTTGGGTTCGGGGTTTAGGGTTTAGGGGTTTAGGGTTTGGGGTTGGGGGGTTAGGGATGAGGGGGCTTTTGAGGTATGGGTGTAAAGTAGAATAGGATTGAGGCAGTTCATCTCCCATTGGAGTCAGCCCTGGCACTTTTACGAAGCCGAGGAGATGTTCCCGATGCCTGAAGCGGTGTGGCCTGGCGCGCAAGCACGGGTTTAGGGTTTGGGGTTTAGGGTTAGGGTTTTAGGGTTTAGGGTTTAGGGTTTAGGGTTTAGGGTTTAGGGTTTAGGGTTTAGGGTGGTCTCCTGTTGGAGAGTCTGGTTCACAGTTCTGACGCGCCGACTTTCAACCCCTGAACCCTAGAGTTTCATCTCGACATCCTACCTACAGCCTGAACTCATGTAAGACATAGGTGGTTTATACAGGGTGTGGCCCCCTTACTATACTAACTGTAGTTAAGGCACGTATAACCTAACTTAGGGTCCTTATAACCCAATTTAGGGCCCTTATAACTCTACTTATAACTAGGGGGCCCCACCCTGTATAGGGTTTAGGGTTTAAACACGCCCCGAAGCCGGAAACTGCCTTGCTTTCGTTGTGTAGCCAGTGCTGCACCAAACATCTGAACTTCACCCGTGCTGCTCTCACACACCTCTAAACCCCAAAGAGCCCTATCTGAACCCCCGAAGCCCTACAGCGTAAACCCTAAACCCCAAGGCCTAAGCCTTAACCGCTCAACCGCCAGATTGGCCTCATAAACCCTAAACGCTAACCCGGAACCCTAAACCCTAAACCCTAAAGCCTAAACCCTAAACCCTAAACCCCTTCCTCAGGGCGGAGATGCCGCACCTCCCACCCTTGGACGACCTCGCGCGGAAGCAGAACAGCGCAAAGGCAGATCAGCGCCTTGCCGGCAAAGGGTACTGAGCTTGGGGTTTAGGGTTTAGGGTTTAGGGTTTAGGGTTTTAGGGTTTTAGAGTTTTAGGCTTTCGTGTTTCGGGTTAGGGGGTTTCGGGTCTAGGGTTTAGAGGTTTAGGGTGCAGGGTTTAGGGGTTTCGGGTCTAATGTTTAATTTTATTGTTTAGGGTTTCGTGCTAGGACCCAGAGCAGGCGCTTTTTTCCAATTTGTGAGGAATTAGGTTCCCTTATAAGCCCCTTTAAGCAAAAGGGTACCATGTCTATTCGCAGGATACTCTTGTGTCTAATGATACTTATTTTCGGTTTTCCCTAAACCATAAACCCTAAGGCCCTAAACCCTTGTTTTTTCTCAGGGTTATGTTTTACTTTTGTTTTGTTGTTGTGTTTTGTCTAGGGTTTGTTGGGGTGATACGCCTTGCGGGCACTAAAGACTCTATGAGCAGTGTTTCTCAAGTATCGGGGTTCGTGGGTATTCAAGAGCTTTATGGCGATTGTGAGGTAGAGGATTTGTTCATGTTTTGGTTCAAAAACCTTAAACCCTACACCCTACACCCTAAACCCCAAACCCCAAACCCCAAACCCTAAACCCTAAACCCTAAACCCCAAGCCCTGGGGGTCAAATTTTTCAGAACTCACGATGCGACGTGAGGGCGGAGGCTTTTGCTGCCCGAGCTGGGCAGTTGGGTTCTTCGACCCTTGAACCCTAAACCCTAAACCCTAAACCGAAAACCTAGGTAGGACCCGGAGTAGGCGGGCTTCGGTTGCCTCTTAAGCCGCTTTAAACCAGACAAGGGCGCCCTGTTTATTCCTAGGTTGCTCTTGGGTCTAGAAACCAACATGTGATGTCATCTTTGCACGCCCGATCCCAGAAAAAGCACGCGCGGCGTAGGGAGCAGGGTTCAAATTTTAGGTCTGCTAGCACCAACAACGCTACGTTATATTGAGGGCTTGAGAGGGTGACTGTTGTTTTTCGAGACTTGGAGCTTAGAAATCCTATTCCCCCTCCCCCCCCCCCATCCCCATACCCTAAGCCCTAAACCTTAAACCTTAAAACGCTAATAAACCCCACGGAAGCCCTTTAACCCGAAGACGTCAGCCACAAGAGGCTCATCCGCTTCGCTTCTTGCCTGCATCCTTCATTGGGTCTGATACAGATCCCACCTTCTTTTATGCTGACGGGGGGGGGCTTCGGGCTGAAGGGTGGCCCAAACCACCTGAGCGTACCTCATTTGGTCGTGTTCTGGGTTGGGAGGCTAGTAATATAAAGGTTGGGTCGCGGAGGTGCCTCTGATCAAAGAGGGTTTAGGGTTTAGGGTTTAGGGTTTGGGGTTTGGGGTTTGGGGTTTGGGATTTAGGGTTTGTAGGGTTCAGGGTTTAACGGTTTAGGGTTTGAATCTTTGGGACGTTTTTCACAGGCGATCAGAGGCATTCGCATCCCGATTCCGTGAACTCAGCAAGGTGTAGGCCCTAATGTCTATGAAAAGCTGACCGTCCCCAACCAAAATTAAGTCCGTATGTCCTGGAAGCTTCTAAACCTGTTTGCCCCTAAGACCCAACCCTGAACCCCAACAAAAAGGAAGCTAAACATAAGTCCGAAACCCTAAAGCTGAACCCTGAACCCCAACAACCGCCATAAGCCCTGCTAGCCCCAAGCAGCGTGGTTCCTGCGCTTTCGTGCCAGAGTCCTGAGACCTAAAACCCGAAGAGACGAACAGCCGCCTTAAGCCCTGAACCCCTGAGTTCAAGTCCGAAAACCCTAAAAATACTCAAGGTCTGCAGCCCTAACTCATGCAAACAAATTCCATAAAGCTCTCATAGCCCGTAAGCTTACTCTTAAGCCCCCGAAGCCATTAACCCTGAACCCTGCTGCTCGTGTTTCGCCCAAGGTCTCCGAGACTGCGAGGGCGGTTTTTCCAGAGGCGACCCAGCAAGGTGTTGGAATTTCAGGGTTTATAATTAGGGTTTATAGAGTTTAGGGTTCAAAATTAGGGTTTATAATTAGGGTTTATCGAGTTTAGGGTTCAAACTGCAGCCCTCGTGCTTTTGGGGTTTTGAGCGTTTCGGGCGTCTGATTTTGGCTGTTAACAGAGTGCCCCCCCAGCTCACGAGGAGAGCACGGACCCTATGCCTTAAACCCGAAACCCCTGAAGCTGATTTGCACATCGACGATGATTTCGGGGATACGTCTCCTTTTGGCTCCTTGCCAAGCGTGACGCCAGCCATGACTAGCCGACAATAGCAGACACTTCTGAACCTGAAGATTTCAGCATTGATCACTCTGAAGGCGAATCCAGAGATCCAAGGCTCTTGGTGCGCCCTCATGCCACGCCCCCCAGTGCGGCGCGCATAAAAGTTCCAGAACAGGAGCGGCAAGCTCCACCAGGCGCCGCGCAGATGGGCAATGCATCTAGCCCCCGCGCGGCAGAGGCGGAGTTCCAGAACAGGATCCAGTCCCAACTGCAGGAGTTTAGGGACTGCAAGATACGGGAGCTTAAGGACCGGATCCATGGGTTGCGAAAGGATTTTTTGGACAGGGCCCAAGCCCTTCACCAGGACTTCCGGCTCTGGCGCGATGGGCGTATATCGTTGTTCTACACGGTCGACGACGATGAGTTTCGTATTGGAGTTCGGGTTTCGTTCTGTGAGGATATCACGCAGCTTGAAAGTGAGTTCGAGGCCAGGGCCATTGCCATTGGACGCGAGTTCTCGAACTCGTTTGAAGGTCAAGCTGATGCAAGTACATACGCTGGCGAGCTTCGAGCTGAGTTACACGGCATAGCCACTCAGACCGAAGGTGAGCCCCCGCTGGAAGAGTTCCTGCGGGCCACTTGTAATGATTGCGGCAAGTGTGACGATGACGACGATTTCGACGATTACCACAATTGCAGCGAATGCTCCGATCACGACGATTTCGACGATTACGACGATTACGACGATTCCGAGATTCCAGGTCCAAGTCAGCATGAACGCGAACTTCGTGACTTCAACCTCAGATGTGAACGGCATTCGGGGCGCTCTCACAATCCACTTGTGCGAGAGATCGGAGGTGCCGCCTTGTCGCTCTTGCGGATGTTCGTGGTTGGGAGCGAAAGGCTTGTATGGGCGTTCCACAAGGAGCGTCGTCGTCGAAAAATGCTCCAGCGCAGCAGTAGGCAACTTGCAGGAGAGTTTTTGGACATGGCCATTCGGCTTCAAGAGTCTGTCGAGAGCAACGCATCGATGTTCGACGATGATGGGCAGCTGAACAAGCAGCTTGTGCAAGAGCTCTCCGACGGGGCCGCTCAGCTTTGGCGGGAGTTCCGTGACAGAAGCGAGTTGCTTCTACTGGAGTTCCACTCCGGGAGCGAGAGGTTTATATCGAAATTCTGCAGCCAGGTCATTCTTGACAGAGTTCTCCAGGAGAGCAGGCAGTTAGCGACAAGGCTTCTGGTCCCAGTACCGGAATTCCACCGTGTCCAAAACGATGGCCATCCTTTGAAGTTGCTTCAAGCCGAGATCAAGAGGCTTGTACACATGTTCGAGTACATCACTCGTGTTCGACCAAAGATCCGCACTTTACCTTTATGGGAGAACGCGTGCGGACACAATTGTGACGCTCGCACTGGCGTCGGCTTGTGGGTCGTCATTGCCGTGGGCGTCAACCGGGAAAAGGTACAGCATGCGGAAGATGAAGCTCGCGAGTTCGCGGACCTTGGTGATAGGCATGGCTTGTGCGACGAAAGCAGGTCGTTTATCTGCACCGGCGGAAGCAAGGAGGACGTTCTCAATACCCTCAAGCGTGGCATAGCCAAGCTAAAGTTGTTTCGCAATGCCAAGCTCATGATATTCGTTGCTGGTGAAGGGCATGCAACGTATGACGCGGGCGCCCTGTTGGAGGCGAGCGACTCTGACCCAGAATTGTCCAAAACATGGGTTCAGGTGGAGACTGAGGTGCTTCGCATGCTTCAGGAACAGGAGATCTTCAAGGCAGAGGTGGTCATGTTTTTGAGCCTTTGCCGAGTGTCGTTCACTCCCCGCAGAGTGGATGATGTGCCGGACCATATAGACGAGCCTCTGCCAACAAGTCCGGGCATACATTGCGTGAAAATCTACGGCTGCAAGTGGAACCGCCAGTTGGAAGATTTTTCGTTCATCCCGAGGGCGCTGGAAGTTTTCTTGGTACGTGGAGCTGCGGATGTTTCCGTGCTAACGACATGGATGTTGCCTGATCTGTATTGGTTGACCTTGCGCAAAGTAGAGATGGATGTCGTGGAAGATTGTGCACCAACACCAACCCATCCCATTATGTTCTTCGCTGCACCTAAGCGGCCGTGGGTTCCACTGCAGCCGCCCTGGAACGAGGAAGCGATTGACGATCTTTGCGACTCAACCTTCCTGCTTGCTCGACATATCGGTTTTTTGGCTTGCCATGCACTGGAGAAGCACTACCTGAAAGCGCGACACGATGTGCTTCGCATTGCCGAAAGGCTCCGGGGCCTAAGCAGTGTCCAGCGTTCGTACAGCGCAGAGCTCGTTGTTTGTAGTTGCCCATCCCGTGTTGTACTGTGGTTCTGTTTTGCGAGATTCAGGTTCAGCTTCCTGCCCCGCTTGCACATATTGCAAGAGCAACATGCCTGCACATCCAGGGGGGGTGGGGTGGTAGGAGCTCCAAACCTTGATCAGACCCGAAAGTCGTGCCAATCCCTGGAGCTCAAGATTCGAAGCCAGTAGTCATCCTCGAAACCCCGCGGAAATACACAGTTTCACGCATCTTCCTTGGGGCTGAAATGTAGAACAATAGATTTTTGCCATTTGGGGTTTGGGGTTTGGGGATTTGGTCCTGGTGTTCCTTGTTTTGCGGGCTTTGTGGAATCAGATTGGAGGGTTCAGCGGTCGCAAGCTAAAGCATATGTAGCTATAGTCTGCAGGCATGGATTCTGGTCAGCAACTGTACACTGCACGATGTTATAACGATACTGGTTTTTTTCGAGGAGAACTCTAGCCTACATGTCAAACGTTGAAAACTGCTTTGACTGGAGCCTCTGGACTTCTCGGGCCGCCCTGTGTACTAAGGTTGAATTGCGTTATGCACACGAACAGTCTCAAGGAGGTGTTTGACTGGCTGCTACACCCGCCACCTGCATCGCCAGAAGGACTTGCCCATTGGTCCTGTCCTATTAGCCAACTGCAGTAGTTCACAGAATCAGTTCTTCAAGTATTTCAGCGGAATTTGGCACAAACTTGATCCCCACATGACAGCATGCCTTGACTGGCGGGGATGAGCCTCGCAGCAAGAAGCCTTTGCAAGTTTAGATTTCGCTGTTTCAGCTTTTTTTTCGGTACTCAGACCTGAGAAGGACGCTTGTATACTGAAGAAATTTCTTTTGTTCGGCCGTCGCTGGAGCGTCCCTTTGCATTTGTTTGGTGTTGCTGGAGCAAGCTCTGGGAGTAAGTCTCCTCTTTAGGGTTCTAGGTCTGTGAAACATGCATGTTTTGCTATGTGTGCGTGCTCTGCATAGCATCTTGGAATGAATATGAGTTCCGTTTCTTGATTCCAGGCTGCCTGCAATAGAATCTGACCTGTTAGGCGCCCCAAATCACAAACCCCGTGCCCGGTGTACCCAAAAACGCTTCAGAACCCTAAATCTCCAACCCCTAGCTTGCAACACGAGCGGAAGCGTGGTTTACAAAGAAGGGAGTGCATCAAGTCAGCCGATTCGGCGTCGTAGGATTCTAGGGTTCTGGGTTCGTGGATTTAGGGCTTTTTGGATTAGGTCATGGGTTGCTGTCCAGGTTTTGAGGAGTAAGTTCTGTGATTAAAGTTTTCAAGCTTTTTGTCGCCTGCACAATGCTTGCCAGGAGTTGAAGATTTGAACCTCGGCGACCTTCCCCGTGACGTGCTGGAGCCAATGGCTGATGCATTGGTCAAGCATGTGCACGAGGAGGAAGCCGATGTCGACCCGCACCAAGTTGTCGAGGAAGTTCGGCGCCTGGTGGACCAGCTCCAGCAGTACCTTTCAGTATATACGTTGCAAGAGCTCTGTGAAGACTACGAAGACTACGAAGAAGCACAACAGCACCCGCAGCATCTGACGGCTTTCGTGGCAATGGGTGTAAGCAGCCGAAGTGCGCCTGAGCCTCCAGAAAGGAGGCAGGAGATGGCGCACGAAATTTTCAGGCTGGCCGACAAGTACAAAATTCCTGCTGCGCGGCTCACAAGCTCTTCCTGTTGCTGCAGGGCTAATGTAGGGGTCCGAATAACTACGACTACTAGTAGTATTTCCCTATGGCCCTATGGTCCCGATATAAATAATGCGTATACTACAGCAACCCTAAACCCTCTAATGATTCCCCTACACGAGGCTTGTTGAAAAGTTATGTCGCTGTTGCCTGAGGTTGACCGTTTCTACATTGGCCCAGGCAGCCTCTGGATACTGCTTCAGTCGGCGGTGCCCCTGCCGCGGGAGTCCCTCCTTCGCTTCGGGGAAGATCTGTCGAAATGCTTCCAGCAGTACGCCAAGACGTCCCTGCGCTGGCGCAGGGCCTCGCCCTTCAAACGTGCTCCACTACCCAGTGTGCCAGGCGACCGCGCAAGGCTAAAGGCACATGTTCTAGGCAGAGCAAATTACCAAGCAAGGCTGTGAACAGTCTTTAAAACGTTTGATTTAGGTCTTAGGATTTCCTACGTGTGACTGTATGTCAGAGCGCGCCATGCCAGGTGGCCTTCGCAAACTGGTACAGCAGCTGACTGTGTTTGGGAAGAATCTTTCACGGTGCGTGTGGTCGCTTGTCCCGATTAGTGTCCGCAGAAGTCCGCGGAAGAACCAGTGCTGGAGGATTTCGGTGACTGAATGCAGGCATGTCTTCAGAAAGGGTCCGGAATGAACTTACGTAGTTAGTATCTTGGTTTTTGGGTATGCTTTTTGTTTTTGTCGTCTTGTGCACACGACCATGTGGACATCACTCCCTCTCAGTGTTTCTTGCGTGTTTCAGGGCCTGGAAATACCAAGGGGTTTTGCTGGTTCAGGACCCTAAACCCTAAACACTAATGAACTATCGGTTCCGAGCAGCCGTTTCCTGGCGCCCAGGCTCACTCCTGAAGACATCCGGCAAATGGCCACGCCTCTGATGACCAGTATCTAGGTAGCCCAGTATTTCTTTAGACATTGGGTTTAGGGTTTAGTGTTTAGGTAGGCCCTTGAGACATTCTTTTATTTTCCCTTATTTGGGTTTCGGAGGATCATATTTCAGGAAGGTTTTTCAGAGGGGTTCAAGGGCCATCCTAGGTATCTCCGAAGGCACAACGGCAGAGCAGATAGCTGTGCTTGAAGGCTTGGCTCAGCGCCGCTCCTTGGCAGATTCTGCGATCACTCATTCTTGTCGCAGGATGGGTAATTAGGCCCTATAATCCCCATAATCAACCCTGTAAAGGGCCGTTTGAAGGGGTTATGGGGTATAATGGCCCGTCCTGGTCGTGCGTTCACAGCCACCTGATCTCGCACAGATCAGGAAACGTGACGATGTATGTATTTGCGAAGGACCGCCTCATTTTGGGTGTTGCTGTTGCAATTTGGTGTGCTTTCCGCTTGGACAACCAATGTGGCAAAGAAGGCCGTAAAAAGAATCCGGCCAAAAAAACCCTAGAGGCCCTGCGGCAGGGATGGAGTAGCTGAAGCACAGGAAAACACGTGCCGGCACCCTGGACCATGAAAGAGGTTCTGCCTTTGGAGACGGTAAAGGACACGCCACTGAACCCCAGACGAGCATGCGTATTTGACATACACTGTTGTCTGAAATTAAATAAAGCCCTATCCAAGAAGAATTCGGACTTGACATGGCAGTTGCTGGTAGTTGAGTTGGGCGTCTACCATGGTCTGTAGCAATCCGAGCTCCGAGTAACACATCCAAGAGCCGATTAGGCACTGATCTGCAGCGGCCTTCATCAGTTCTTCACTCACGTAGCTTGCCCGCTCAGGTTTGGGTGATTGGCTACAGGGTGTTGGCGAGCTCAGGGTGCTGAAGGTTTGCAGCTGGCAGAAACCCGTCACTTTGCCATAGTTGGGTACCATTTTACATGTTGAAGGGTACTTAAACCCTGTAAGGAAAACAATTAAATTGTGAATATTATCCCAACCATGAGCTAGGTCAGAAAGCCGGACCTCGACTGTCTCACCAGCCTGAGCACCAAGAGATTCGGAGCGGGGACGTGGGATGATCAACTGGAGTTTCAGGCTGCTGCGCTGCTCATCAAGGCCTACACTCTAACGGCCGGCGCGCTGCCCACAGGGTTTTGGCCCACCGCCCTGGCGTTGCAAGATCCGAGGAAGTTTTTACAGCTATCGTGTGGCATGTATTTCAAGTGCCGCTGCTCTCTCCACAAGCCTCGAACTCTCGGCAGCCAGCCACAGGGAAGCAACGATCCTGGCAAGCTTGCGACTTGCAAGCCTTGATGATCTGCTTGGTTTAGGGTTTAGGGTTTAGGGTTTAGGGTTTAGGGTTTAGGGTTCTATTGTCATTGTACAGACCTGACCACCTGACCATGGCACGGGCACCTTCCTACCACGAGAAGCTCTGAGGCTTGTGCAGAAGCGGAAGTCCGAATATTTTCGGGAAGATGAGAAGATGGATGAGGCGCTCCGCAGGAAGGAGTGCACTCAACACTCGGCCAGTGTAGCCGCAAGACACCTCTTCGCCTGGCAGGTTCAGCCAACAGTGGAGCTGAAAAAAGGTAATCTTCTCAGAGCAAGCATAGCACATGCCAGAGTTAAATGCACCATCCATGCCCAAAGGGATGTGCCCCAGTAGCAATGTTCTGCAGAAGGCAGAAGGCTCACGTTACTCTGCGAGGCAGCAGCCTGCCTTTGAAACCCTAAACGTCCAAGACACGTCGACGTGCCTGTTCACCCCCGAAATCCCTTGGATGGAGGAGATCAGAGACCCTATGTTCCTGTCCAAGTGGAAGGAGGAACTTATGGAGATTGCGGCGACTGGGGCGAGGAAGATTTTGCAGTTAAGGTTTAGGGCTTAGGGTTCAGGGTTTTAAGGGCGTTAATGGTTTTAAGGGTTGAAGGGCTTAGGGTAAATCGGTTCTTTGCATGGACTTGTCGTAGGGCTCCAAAGCATTCGAATACCTACTTGCAGCTGCAGATGACACCTAGTTCGGGCTATTTGGAGCCTAACGCCTAAACCCAAGACCCTGCACCCTCTAGGTGAGGTTTCTGCGTTTAAGTTTCGCAGGTTCGGGGATTGCTGGTTCGTCGCAGATCGTTTGGGGGTTTCTAGCCCCCCCCCCCCCCCGCCCCTTCGATCCGTCTGGTGTACTCCCTTCAGGTTTCCCTAACCCCCCCTTCCCCCAAACCCAGAGAGTTCTCTTTGAAGGGCCTGTAAGGTTCGAGCTGGCTGGGTTGATACAATACATTGTTCAATGCAGTGGGAAGAGTATTTTGGAGCCACTGAAAGCGCCGAGGACTATCAGATGGAAATTGGATGCCTCTTGGCTGAAGAAAGCCCCAAATTCTGTACACCCTTAAGCTTCAAGGCCCATCGACCACCCTTGCGACGCAAATCCCTTCTCCTTATTGGGGGTTTCGATAGGGCTTGGAATCTGGCAGGGTGTAGAGTTCAGGCTTTCGGGATCAAGGTGTATGTCTTGCACCCTCAATCGCTAGGACCATTTGGTGGGGAGAGGTTCTGTTTCCAACCCTCTAAAGAAAAAGCTCTTTAGGATTTAGGGTTTATGACTTCCCCCTTCAATCACTAGGACTATGCTTTGCGGAGAGGTTCTGTTGCCAACCCCCTACAGCAACAACTGTTTAGGGTTTAGGGTTTAGGAACCTACATGAGCATGAAACGTTCAGGGTATGGGCCCCGGAAGAGCCACCAACCACTGATTTTCTGTATGGCTCCCGTAGCTTAGAGGGGAGGGGGGTGAGGTGGTGTTGTTGTTTGGGCTTTCGGGTTTTTCAGGGTGTAGGGTTTAGAGTTTTAGAGTACCCTAGACCCTAAACCCTAAACCCTGAACCCTGAACCCTAAACCCTAAACCCTAAACCCTAAACCCTAAACCCTAAACCCTAACCCCCAATCTGTCGATCTCCCAGGCTTCCTCTCGGGTGCGGGCACGAGCAATCCGCACGACTACGTGGGCCTCACGCACAACAACCTGCAGATCGACAACGTCCCTTTGATGTGTTGGGTTTAGGGATTAGTTTTTAGGGCTTAGGGTTTAGGGTTCAGGGTTTAGGGTTTAGGGTTTAGGGTTCAGGGTTCAGGGTTTAGGGTGTTTGGGGTTAGGGTGTTTAGGGTGTAGGGTGTTTAGGGTTTAGGGAGTTTGCAGCTCGACAACGTCCCTTGACGTGTCGGGTTAAGGACTTCGGGGTTTACAGGGTTTAGGGTTTTAGGTTTAGGGTTTAGGGTTTAGGCTGGCTCATAGTGGGGTCTGCAGGCTATACCATTGGGTTCAAACGGTGTTTGCAGAGTTTTTTTTTCAAATATCTCTGCAGCGCGCGCTGTTTGTGCTCTGGGGCTTTATACGCTAACTACAGTTCTGGCCCTGACTGGCTAATTCTAACCTGCTTTGAAACCCTGAGCCCTATAAACCAGAAAGCTTAGTCACTCTCACATAGAACCCCAAACCCTGAACCCTAAACCTACACACAGTTTTTTTACCCTTGCACCTCCAAGCAGGTCATACTAAAGGCAGCAGCAGGCTCTCGTTCCCAGAGCAGATGCAACCCTAAACACGAAACCCTAAACACTAAACCCTAGCCCCTGAAGTTCCACTCCAAGCTTTCCTTGAGTTTACGGCTTCGGGTGCACACCCCAAGCCATACGGCCTAAACACCCGAACCCTAAACCCTAAACCCTTAAAGCCAAATCCTGCATCCTGCAACCCTGAACCCTAGAGTCCATAGCAAGCCCTAAAGCTCTAAAGCTCCCAGCCTCAACCCCCATGATTTCCCAGAACCCCAAACCCGAAAACCCTAAACCCCTAAACCCCTAGAAACCCAAACGTCCTAAACTCCCGCGCATTTGTTGCCTCGAGGCATTCTTCTGGCGCAATGCGCGAGCCTCAATGTTTGAGGGTCTAAGGGCTTAAGGGTTCTCTGGCGGCTGAGGGGTTGGGGTTTGGGGCTTAGGGTTTTGAAGTTTTGGGTTTTTCGTGTTAGGACTTTAGGTGATGTAGGGGGGTTCGGGTTTTAAGTTTCGGGGTCAAGGGTTTAGGGTTTAGGGTGTAGGGGTTGAGGGTTTGAGGGGGTCTTTAGGGTTCAAGAGATTTTGTATCGTGCTTAAGAGTCTTCGAATTTGGGTGTAAGAATGTTGCCTTGGGTTGGAGGGTTCTTGTCTAGTCTTTGAACGTATTGTGCAGGTTTGAGAGAGGTTGTTTCGTCTTTATGGTTCAGGGTTTAGGGTTTAGGGTGTAAGGCTAGGTATTGTTTTCGGGATGGAGTGCGTTGAAAATAATAATGGTTTTGGGCTCTTTGGGTTTTAGGCTAGCTCTGGCGACCTTGGTGTCGAATACTTGAATCTTGCAGGTGCTCGTGCGGCGAGGGAGGTTGGTCATAGTCATGGGCACTTCTTGGTACCCCAAGCTATCTGTGTAAGTTGCGTGCGCTTACCCTAGACCATGTCCCCCTAAACCACACC